GGACATTTGTCTATTTTTGTTGTTGCTGCTGTGTTTACCCTATTCATGTATTCTATTTATGTAATTATTCTATTAATAAGGCAGATTGCATTGATGAACTTTATATCCTGAATTAACTTGGTGCTAAACTCCTTTTTATCAAGAAATATAGTACTTTTAATAAATTTGACTATCATCAGGTTTGTAAATATTTTAATGGTATTTAACAGCTATATTCACTAATGTTATTAAAATTTAGTTTTCTTTTCGTATAATTTTTTTTGTAGTTTAAAAATGGGACCACACTGTCCCTATAAAATGAATTAGGAATATTTTACCACTTTTCTGTACTTTTTGAGTTTTTGAAGCGTTGATGCTTATTTTTCATTAAGCAGCTGGTAGAATCCACCAATGGAACTGCCTAAGCCTGAATTTCCTTTGTAGAACTCTTTTGATTGTTAATTGGGTATATTTACTTGTTGAACATCTATTCAAATTTATACTTATTCTTGAGTAAATTTGGCAATTTCATCTTTCAAGGAGCATGTTTATTTTACCTATGTGTCTAATTTGTTTGTGCATGGCTATTGATCATATTTCTTTATAGTCCTTTCTGCTTCTGCAGAGTCAGAAATAATATGTCATTTTTCATTCTCGGTGTTAGCTATTGTACATTTCTCTCCCTCTTTCTTTATCTTCAAGAGTTGTGCTAAAGGTCTTTCAACATTGATTTATTCAAAGAACCAATGTTTGCTTTCATTGACTTCTCAAGCTTGTTCATTTGTTTTTAATTATGTGCACATATATGGGGGAGTGTTTAAAAATGTGCCTTTGGAGGCCAGAAGAACACATTGGATCCCCTGAGGCTGTAGTTACAGAAGAATGTGAGCCACTCAACCTAGGTTCTGTAAGAACAGGGTGTGCATTTAATCAGTAAGCCATTACTTCTACCCCCTATTGCTTTTCTATTTAATGTTTTGTTTATTTCAGTTCAAATCTCTAATCTTATCTTCCTTTTGTTGGCCTGGGTTTCAGTTGTTTTTGTTTTTCTCGCTTCTTAAGGTAAAACATAAGGTTATTTATCTGAAATATTTCTTCTTTGATCAAAAACCTAAAGTTAAGGACTAAAAGAATCTAGAACAACTCTAGTAAAGAACGTTAATAAAGACACTGAAATTGTGAAAAGGAAGCAAATTGGAATTCACAAGCTAACTGCTGGCAGGTCGTGCATAGCTATCTGGTGTGCCCCCGCCTTTCTACTGAAAGTAAAGAGCATCTCATTTCTCCTTAGCTAGGACCACCCTTAGAAACTGTTCTCAGGAGACATACAGGTTTATTGTATAGATACATTCTATTGAAAAATTCAGATAATTTCATTTAATCCTTATGCTATCGCAGAAACAGTAAATAAATCATTGGGTTTTTCAGGTTTGGAATCCAGATCTAGCTCCTCAAACACCTCGCTGCCATTCATACCCTCTCCAGTCCTCAGCACAGAGGAAGTATTCTGTGGGAGTGTGGAGATGACAGGCAATTTGGGGGTCCTGACAGTCTGAGACCTGGCTGACCTCATGACAGAAGAAAGTACATGTGAATAATCTCCAGAGACACGTGTGTGTGTGGTTTTTTTGATTAGTACATATTATATAAATGTTTTCTGCCCCCGCCCCGTATCATCCATGAAGGTAGAAACTTAGTTTTGTTGGGTTTTGTTGGTTTTGTTCTTTGGGTTTTTTTCTCTTCCTTGTCACACAAAGGTATGTTCTTTGCTTCCCTGAGGTAATGACATAGGCTGTTCTCATCTGACCACTACTTCAAACGCTGAGGAAGAAGTTGTTCTTTCCCCCTCTGGGTCATCAGTAGATATCCCGTGGGCATTGGGCACATTCCAGAAAACTGAGGCATTGCAACGGAACAACAGCCGAGGCTCTTTCTCTTTGTTCCTCGATCACTCGGGCAATCTGTTCACACTGAGATCTCATTCCTCCAAATCTACCCTTCACCGCCAGCCTCACTGACCTATCCAGCAAGGTCACTATGTGAAGACATTTCCACCACCAGTGGAACGATGGATTTTTGTATACCTTATGAAGAATTAAATTATTTTTATTGTACATCTGTGTATGTACACAATGTGTGTGTGTGTGTGTGTGTGTGTGTGTGTCCGAGCATGTGTGTGTGCACATGTGTGCACATGCTACAGCACGTAGAGGTCAGGGGACAACTTTGTGCGGTCAATTCTCTCCCCTCCTTCCATTTCCACCTTTATAGGAGTCCCAGAGGTTGAACCCATGCCACAAGGCTCTTAGGGGAAGTCCCTTTACCCACTGAGCCATCTCACCAACCCTAGAACTATTTAATAACAAACAAACAAGAGCAATAAAAACAATCGTTCATCCATGAAAGAATGGTTAATGAAAAAATGTAGTAAGAAACCAATAAAATTTTACTCAACTGTAAGGGAAAACAAAATTATGAAACTTGTAGGTAAATAGATGGAACTGGAAATTTTCTCCTGAGCAAACAACACAAGCCTGAAAGACAGACCTGCAAGCTTCCTCTCATGTGCGGATTCTAGCTTCCAGTCTTTAGACTTCTGAGTTTAACCCGGAAAACCTGTAGAAGGCAGGAAACGGGCCTGCAGTTGAGAACACATACTGCTTTCGGAAAGGACCTGAATTTGCCTCCTAGTTCCCACGTCAAGCAGCTTACAACCACCTATGCAACCCAAGCACCAGGAAATTTGAAACCCTCTGGTAACCTCCACAGGCACCTGTACTCACATACACACACATATGCATAATTGAAAACAAAATAAATATTTTTAAAGAGTCTGAGAAACTAGTAAAGGATTCTGAGAGTGAAGGACGCCACAAGGGAGACGGCACGGCAGAGAATAGGTGATGTGAAGGCAGAGCGCGGGGAATGTTGGCAAGAGGAGAATGTTAACCAGCATGAGAGTAGAGAAATGAGGAAGGGAGAAATCAAAAGGGGGAGTTAATCAAAATGATGTGTGCCTTGAAAAGCCATATGGAAGCTTGATACTTTGCAAGAAGACTAAAAAATATGAGAGTTAAGAATATGATGATCCAGTTCTTACCCCTAAACACATAGTATAGTCAATGGAATCATGATCTCAGGGTGGAAGTAGATACCTGTGACAAGCCAGCAAAAGACAGCCTCTGTCACCAACCAATCACAGATCAGGGAGTAGTCCATGCAGGCCTACCCTTCCAAGCTGAGCTGTGGACTTCCAATGGGCTCTGAGGGAAGAACAAGTGTTGTCTTCAAGTTCTGAGCCCAGTGGTGACCACCATGTTCCAGTGGATAGTTCCAGACTAGCAAAAACACAAATGTCCCTGGATGAATGAAGAGGGACACAAAACAAAGTCAAAAGACACAAAAGTGGGAAAGGGATTTGTAGAAAGGAAGGTGGGAATGGGGTCATGGGAGGAAAAGAGGGGTAAGGGTGACAGTAATAAGAATATACTATAGTTAGACAGTGGTGGCATGTGCTTTTAATATCAGCACTTGGGAGGCAGAGGCAGGCAGATCTCTGTGAGTTCAAGGCTAGACTGATCAACAAGGCAAATTCCAGGACAGCCAAGCTGTTATACAGAAAATCCCTGTCTCAAGAGAAGGAAAGAAAGAGAGAGAGAGAGAGAGAGAGAGAGAGAGAGAGAGAGAGAAAGGAAAGAAGGAAGGAAGGAAGGAATGTGCTACATATATATGTATGAAAATACATACATATATACATACATATAAATGCATATTTGCCAAAGAACAAATTTAATAAAAGATTTTAATTTGGCAATTCTACTATTTTACTTATTTACTTCCTTTTTACATTTATTTATTTATTCTGTTGGGAAGAGGAAAGCATTGTGTACTCCTGCACATTTGTGCTAGGGACAGCTTGCAGGAGCCAGTTCTACATGTCCTTCATGTGGATTCTGAGGCTGGAACTCAGGTCGTCAGGCTTGGTAGCAAGCACCTTGCTCACTAAACCTTGAGCCCTTGGATCCTTCTTTTAAATATGTATGAGATATGCCAAGAATAGATGGACACATTTGTTTCTTTCCACAGTGTGAGAATTTACTGACTTATTGTTATAAATTCAAAGACTACTTCTGATTTCATGGCTTTGGTTCACCAAGGACTCCTGACTTCACTCAGCTATGCTCAATAACATTTTCTTTTATTCTAATCTTAATCACTAACATTAACTATCAGATCATGCATTATAACTCATTCTTTTCCTCCCTCCCTTCTTCCTCTTCCTCTTCCTCTTCTTCTTCTTCTTCTTTTTCCTCCTCCTCCTCCTTCTCCTTTTCTCTCTCTCTTTCTCTCTCTCTCTCTCTCTCTCTCTCTCTCTCTCTCTCTCTCTCTGTTACCTATCTCCCTCCCTTCCTCCCTTCCTCTCTCTTTATTTCTTTGTGCGTATGTGGTATTACCTCCCTCCCTTCCACTCCCCCTCTCTCTTTTGTGTGTGGGTGCACGCCCCCGCATGTGTGTGAGTGTGTGTGTGTGTGTGTGTGTGTGTGTTTTGCAGAATGGCTGTAAAAGGGTTAGAAACTCTTAAAGGATCAGATGGGTTGCAATGAACACAGAAGCAAAGAGCTGAGGCACACCAAAGCAAATGTCTCTGCAGAAGACCAGATAAAGAATTATACTGACCAGGCATGGTAGCACATGTCTGTGCACAGAAGTGTTTAACACATGAACAGTAAATGATGACACTTTAAAAGGATAGAGGTACTCTCAGGAAAGCAGGCACTTGGTGTATATCAGAAATCCTGAGAGTCAGAATAAATCAAGTCTAGAACTTTCCTAGCCAGTCTCTTTTCCCCAAAGTTGCAAAGAAAAGAAATTAGAGTGGTCGATTTTTCTAGGACCAGGGTATTATACCTTTCATTGACTTCCTGAGTGTCCCACCCCCAACTCCTACTGAAGCAGCCCAACCTCACCAGTGTATAAATAGTGACGCTTCCTGCCCTAACATGAACCTTTCTGCCTCCAAAATGGACAAGCCTCACTTAACAGGATGTCTCGTCTTACTCTGCTATTTGAAGGGTGAGTCCTGAGAATCACCAGTTGGTGAGATAAGTCCAGGATCCGGCAATGGGTGAGATGTCCCATGATGCAGGCCAGCCGTGGTAAGCCAGCAGAAAGAGCAGTCCCTGTGTTCTGTGCCTTCCACTCACCCTGCATTAGGTCACTGGGACCATAACCAAAGCCCTGTTGCTCACAGGAGGAAGTAGATGATTTACTAACAGTTTGAGAGATTCCCGGAAGCTGTGAAATGGGGGTTGGAAAGTAGACTCTCTTCAGAGAGTATAATTTTTATCTTTTTGGTTTTTCCAACAGTTTTCTCTGCGTCATTTCCACGTGAGATAGACAAATGTGAGTAGAAAAATGGATGTGAAGATGAATAAGAAGAAAGAATCCAGGAGGAGTAAAGTGGGGTGGGCACTGAGGGCTCAAAGTAAACCACAAATAGACATAATTTCCACACTCAGTAGCCTCTTCTGGCAGGATACAGCCAGGGTGGAAGCTGTCTTTAGGGTTCACAAAGAACCAGACAGCAGCTGACAAGGCTAGGGGCAAGGACAGGGGACCAGAGAAATGGAATGTGAAGTTTGCAGAAACCAGGTGGCCCAATCTAAGGTAGCAACCTCCTGAATTTCAGAGGTCTGTTCCCATTGTTCGATCTTAAGTGAGAGTACCATGGAGGTTCAACAGAAGGAAGAAAATGAGATAGAAACCATGTGTATTTATCCCCTTCCTCCTGGTCTGTGCAACATCCCTTAGGGGTGGGAAGAAGAATCTGAGGTGACCTAAGAAATGAAGAGGATAAAAGAAAAAGTGGTAAAATATGGCATAATCAGCGTTGGGCTAATAGAAAAAAAAACTCTCAAAATCCAAGCTAGAAGACAGAATAAGCCCTGGGGGAGAGGGAAAGCAAGCAGCGTAAATCTCAGACAGAAGTGCCAACTCGCTCTCTTTGTCCCACCTGAACAGCAGAAGATAAAGTACTCTTTCATGAAAATAACAACGGTGAGTACAAAAGAACCCTAGCCTGACCGCCTTGGCACTATGCTTCGTTTTCCTTCTGCTTCCCCCCTCTATCCCCACCGTTTTCCACGCTGGAGCTTCTGAGACCATGAACTCCAGGCCCGCTTTTGGTTTCTCCCATTCTAAAAGAAGCACATAACCACACTTGGATGGGGTTTGGGGCCCGGGACACGGTGACAAAGTCTTCCAGGGCTATGCATGCTCCACCCTTCAATGGGGGGGGGGGGGGGGAGACTCTTTCATGGTAGTATCATCGCTCGTGTCTCTCTTCAAGTTGTGGAAATTGTGCAGTGTAGGATGTGCCACCTCCAGTTCCCCGGGGAAAAGTGCTCCAGAGGAAGAGGAATATGCACCGCAACAGCAGAAGAGGCCTGTATGGTGGGAAAGATGTACAAAAGTATGTGGTGTGGTAAGGAGGAAAAGATGGGGAAGAGGAAGCAGGATGTGTGGGCCTCGGGGATGAACACGGGAACTTCCGGTTACTACAGACAGCCTCACTTCTAAGGTAGCTCGCAGTATCACTCCCGTGATTCACCATAATGGTGGAGAAGTGGAAGTGACTGCTGAAGCTAAGGTAAAACTCAAGGCTACAGAAAGAGGCCTGAAGAGATGGGGGTGGGCAGAATGCAGGAGAGAAAGGACATAATACTCACCCTCAGGAGAGCAGCCAGTTGGTAATGAAAGCAGCCCTCTGTGTACCTGCCCAGGCTTTCTCAAGAAAGGGCTCCAAGCTATGGAAACAAAGGGGCCAGTGTCAGCAATATGCCCAGGTTGCATCTCCTTCTGAATAAGCTTAGACAGCGTTTTTCTAGTTTCGTACCCTCAATGATACTCAAGTCTTGAGATTCTCTGTAGAAACCTCCCACATAGTTAACCCCTTCTCTCATGACCTTCCTACCGCCAATGAAGTCTTAAAACTGCACCACTATTTCTTTTCTTCTGGGTAGCCACCAACTTCCAACACCTTCCAGTCTCTCCTGTCTGGATAATGGATCATGAACACTGCATGGTGATGCTCAGACGCCAGTGTGGGTTGGACGGAGGTTGGTTTTACAGAAGCATCTGTTGGGCTTGCTGATCTGTTCTTCCTTCTTCTGCAGGGGACGGTACCATCTGGTTAAACTTCAAGGGCTGCTTAAAGAACTGTGCCAATGTGAAAAACATAAGGTGGGGCCCCTATCTGGTAAACTTCAGGTGCTGCCGGGGCTATGACATGTGCAATGAAGCATTTTAGACGTGCTTCAACATCCGGGTGACTGGAGGGCTTCTCCACAAGGACTTCCTGTGGATAGCACTACATAGAAGGACTGCAAGCACGTGACTCTGCCGCCTACGTGTAAGAGGAAACGCACCCTTTCTCTAAAGAGCCTTTCCATTCCGAAATCAATAAAAAGTGAATAAATACAACCTTATTATAGAGATCAGCATGTGTTTGAGTTGTTAGTAAACCCATTGGATGACCAAGTACTCAGGACAAAAGAAATAACTAAAATGCAAAAGATGCTCCTTCTTTTCCTTTCTTCTATCCTATTACATATTTTTTTTAAAAAAATTGTATTACCATGTAAAATTGTTATGCACAATAATTGGCTTTGATGTGACATTTACATACATGTGTTTACATACATGTATTCCAATCAAACTCACCCTGTTACTCTCCCTTGTCCTCCACTCCACCCATCACCTTCTCAACTAACCCACCACTTCGACTTTCACTTTTTGGGTGTGTGCAGTTCGGTAAGTTTAATTACTGTTTAGTTAGGGTTTCTATTGCTGTGAAGAGACACCATGACCACCACAACTCTTAAAAAGAAAACATTAAATTGAGGGTGGTCACTTACATTTTCAGAGGTTCTGTCTATTGTGATCATGAAGGAGGAGAGCATGGTAGCATGCAGGCAGATGTGGTGCTGGAGCTGAGAATGCTACGTCTTGACTCAGACGCAACAGGAAGTTGACTGACTGTCACACAAGGAACGCTTAAGAAAAAGAGTCCTCAAAGCCCACCCCCAGAGTGACACACTTCCTCCCACAAGGCCACGCCTACTCCAACAAAGTCACACCTCCTAATAGTGTCTCTCCCTTCGAGATTATGGGGGCCAAACACAATCAAACTACCACAAAGAGGAGCATCTTTGAAAGGTTCTTTCCAGGCATGAAGAAAGCATCTCTCCTTTTCCCAATAGCCACTAAGCTATGACTCCCCCAGAGGAATGGGGCCTCATGAGCCTCTCCCCAGGTAAACAGTGCCATCCCCAGAAAACAGCATTTCATAGCACTCCACCCCACCTTGAGCTCTTCCGTTCTTCCCAATCTCTCTCTGCCACGCTCCCTGAGCCTTGGAAGTAGTGATACATGTCTACTGTGGTTCTCCTATGACAAGGTAGGAATCTCAGCGGCTACCACTCCCTGCTGTAAAAAGCGAACAGCAGCACTGATCTCTCTGGAGACAAACTCAGTTATTTAGAAAGAGAGCGGACAGGTTTGTTTACCATGTTTGTTCATGTTGGTTTACCAGACCAGCCATTGTAACTTCCTTGTTAGGTCCTATAACCTTCCCCTTTGTGGGTGAATGTTTTATTAATTCTTTCTCTTGTTTTCCTCCCTGCCTTTCATTCCACTTCTGTTAAAGCATGTACCACTGGCTTTCTGAGAAAGAATGTGCTTGGTGGAAACAGCCAGTGATTGAACTTTTGCAGAATTTTGTTCGTTGATGCTTCTGCCAGGCTGAGGGAAAGGTTAGGGTGCGGAAAGGAACCTGTGCTAGAGATCCAAAGAGAGAAGGCTACTGTGCCATCTGTCTTTAAGGAGATAGATTGGAGACACGGGATTGTGGGAGGAGTCCGTGGGATTCTGGAGAAAGATCACAGGCAGGGAAGAGCTGCAGGGTTGCCTCTAAGGAGCTGGGACCAGCAAGCATGAAGGCCACTGCTGTAGACACTGAGCGCTGTGAGGGCAAGGACGCTCTCTGAATCTGGTTGATAGATGACCATGGCTACATGAAGCTCCCAATCACTTCCATCTGTCACACACTCAGGCTTTCCGTGCTGTGTAATCCTAGCATACTGTGGGAAACGGGATAAAATGAATGTGATGTGGGATTGTGTTGTAGAGAGAACTCCATTCCAAACTCTCCCTTAATCTGTTTAACAAACATTTATTCAAATCATACCACATTCCAGGTACTGCTAGGCTCTGGGATAGGACAGCTATGATCTCTGTCCTCATAAGGCTTAGTCTAGTAGGAGATCTGTACACGGATGAGTAATAATGAGATAAATAATCCCTGTGAGAGAGCCATCGGCGTAATATTCCACACCTCCTCTCTCGTTCCCTCTTCACAGGATGCAAGAAGTATGTCACCGGTAACTTCTTTCGGATCAGACAGGAAAATGAAATAGCATCAATCATTTTAACAAAAACTTTGAAATAGTTTTTATGCAGGCATTGAAGGACAAAAAAAACCAAAATGAGTTATTGATTTAATATATAAAACCTGTAGGAATCATCTAAATGCATGAGCCTCTGAGAACACAGTGGGAAAATTGTCACTAGACTTTAGCAAGCTAGAAGAGGAACCCTCTGAAACTGAGACTCAGACATTTGAGATTGAGTTACTCACTTGTGGACACCTCAGCTTCTCCGATGAAATCAAGTATGACATCTCAAGTCTGTAATCTCAGCACTGCGGAGACTGAGGCAGAAATGGACTGCCACAAGTTCAAGAGCAGTATGGGCTACATCTTGAGTTCGAGGACAGTCTGTGCTACACATAGAGTTCTGGACAAGACTGGGCTAGAGACTCAGATCCTGTTTACAACAATAAAATAAATTTAAGGATGTTATCTGTGGGATAAAATGTATACGTCAAGGGAAGGAACACTGTTAAATGATGATTCTCTCTTAGAAAGCAGTATGAAGCTGGTTCCTGGAAGTGCGGTGGGAGTAAGGCATAAAACGGAATCCTTGCAAGTTGGCATCATGTAGCAGAATGTAGAACAGTGTGCCTAAAGCAGAGAGAGAGCAATTTTTCCATTTTATTAAAAATAGAGTCTTTTCTCATACACTATATCCTGATTACATTTTCCCTCCTTCTTCTCCTCCCAGTTCCTTTCCATCTCCACTCCCATCTGGATCCACTCCCTTTATCTTTCTCTTTAGAAAAGAACAGGCTTCTAAGAACAACAGTAAAACATAACAAAATAAAATAAAATAATAAAACAAAAATCACATCAAAGTTGGAAACGGCAAACCAACAGAAGGAAAAGAATCCCAAGAGAAGGCACAAGAACCAGAGACCAACTTGCTCACACATTCAGAAGTCCCACAAAAGACAAAAGTACTAAACTGAAAGCTAATACACACACACACACACACACACACACACACACACACACACACCACAGAGGACCTGGTGCAGACTTGTACAGACCCCAATGTTGCTGCTTCAGTCCCTGTGAGTTCATATGAGCTTTGCTCAATTGTTTTAGAGGGCCTCATTCTCCTGGTGTCCTCCATTCCCTCTGCCTCCTCTTCCTCAGGGCACCCTGATCTCTGAGGAAGAGATTTGATGGAGACATTGCATTTAGACCTATGCCTTCTAAGGTGTCTCTCTCTGCATAATGTCTGGCTCTGGGTCTCTGTATTTGTTCCCTGTGCTATAGGAGGAAGTGAGAGATGATAATTTAATAACAGCAGAGTCACCTCGCTGGCTATTCAGAATCTGTATACTCTGTTCTATATGTATTTGGACTCTGTTTACCAAGAAAGATAACTTCATGGATTTTGCCTAACAATGTTCATTTATTCTCCACATAAATACTTTCTTACCCCTCGCCAAAATAAGAGGAGAGAGTTTCAAATTTATCTTGATCGTGGAGTAAGAGCCCAGATATTCATTTCTGTGCAATGATAAGCATTTCTCAACCCATTCACTTCCACTTGTCAACCAACAGCAATTCTTACATGAAACAATAAAGAGATGGAAAGAAGGGAGAGATTAAGACACACAGAGTTGTGCACAGCTGCCCAGGGTTTGTTTGAACAGACCAGTGATATCTGTAAGATCCAAACCTTTGTTTTGTCCCCCCTCAATAAAACATTCTGGATCTTTTGTCTACCTGAAGGGATGACATGGATCTTCCTTCCTGTTGCATTCAACTATTCAGTAGCTTTACTGTTTCCATTTCCAAAGTTTTATGAATATTTGAACTAGCACTTCTATATGCCAGGCAAAGTCATTCCCACCTCACTGTGCCGCCACAGCCCACTGTCCTGTGACATCTGCAATAATTTTCCTAATCAAGAAGACTTCCATTACTTTTTCTGTTTAAAATTATCCATTTTTATTTTATGTATCTGAGAGTTTGCCTACATATATGAATGGGAACTGTGTGTGTGTGTGTCTGGTATCCTTGGAGGCCAAAAAAGTATTGACTTCCCTGGATCCGGAGTTACAGATTGTTGTAAGTCACATGTAGATGTTGGGAATTAAATCCAGGTTCTTTGCAAGAACAGCACACACTCTTAACCTCTGAAGCATCTCTTTAGTCCCCCTCCCCATGCTTTCTTAAGCATTATTTCTTCTTGGATATTATGGTTTGGCATGCTTTGGTTCCAAAGGCTGTTGTATTTTTCTGTCCTTACTTGGTGTGTTTCCAGAGTTCACTGTTTTTATTCCAAGAGACAAGGTCTCAAGCATATTCAGACTGACCTGGAATCTGAGGTAGTACTCCTGCTCAACATCTGAGCATTGAAATTACATTCTTGTGCCACCACATCTTGCCTGGATTTCACTTCTTGTTTGTAATCCAGTCACAGTTGTTCACAGTCACGTTCTCTTTGGCCTTTCATCCAGGTTCCTTCTTTCTCCGCACCTGATTCATGACTCCACTTCATATTTTGCTGAAACCCCAGAAGAGTACAGCTATAATAGGGCCCATTCTGCAACCCACAGTGTGACTGAGAAGATTTGGAAAACCCTCTGCTGGGCTCCGTTGCCCAGATGGATCTAAGGGAGCACTGCAGTATTAGCCAGAGCAATCCAGTCACATCATCTTGACTTGTTATGTCCTTCACAACATTTTCCTGAAATGGGATGGATGATTGGTTCTCTCCAGTAACTGGGTCCATTGAACAGCCAGTGGAGTTCCTGGACTTGGAAGCTGACTGAATCTGGCAGGAGCTGATGCTCGCTTGCTTTAGTTAATGTGGAAGGTGGAGGAAGGATGAAGACTTTCCAGAACGAACTATGAAAACTTTCCCCCCACCACCCATCACCAAGTTCTGACACCCAGTGTGACTGAATGTGCGCACTTAACACTTCCATTCTTACTGTTGCGGTAGCACAAGGAGCCCTAGTTCATTAGAGTATACACT